CCTACGATTAACCAAAAAAATGATTTTTTCCTTCAAACCTAATAATCTTTTACGTTTGAGCAATTATAAGTAATAGAAAACTATCTATATCATTATATCAATAATTGTTGAATGTTTTATCACTAATATTTTGTTTGAACTTGTATATACGATACCTATATTATCATACTGAGGAGTATAAATGAGCTTGATTAGTATTTATAAGGAAGCAAATGCAACAATTTTAAATGCCTACATTTTTATTTAACTATAGTTATTATACAAATAATTTGGAATAAAGTTTAATATTACTATAACCATAAATTACATTAGGTATTAATGTATTACTATTGTAATAACAATAATTATTTAAGGGAACATTTTAGCTTGTCAACTACTGTTAATTCTTGTGACGATTATATTATATAATATATTATCATATAATTGTTAATGATTATGTTTCAGAAGTGATAATGAGGCTGTCAACATTGTTTGTAGAACAATGTCTGAGCGTACTTTAAAATTATAATGTAGGTCCAAAAGTGTATTTAAACATTGTAACCGTTCATCGATCACTTCAAAGTTCAAATGTTTAAATTATGTTTAATTGTTATAATATGTCTGTACAATGTTTCTGTAAAATTAATTATTCTCGAGTGAGCCTCTCGTTACATTGCCATTTCCACGTTTTGTCGTAGACATTATGCGTGTCTACAAAACTTCATAGCTAGTAGATACAAATCGACCCCGTAACCTATTTTAGGGTGCAGTCTTGAAACAACGGACGACCTTCAAACTAAAACGATAACCGCACAATAAGTATTTACGTGGGAAAAGAACTGTTTTAGTACTTGCACGTCAGCACTGTCAGACAACCGTCGGTTCCACAATGTCCAGGTGAGACGATAAAATATGTAACATCATATATTTTTACTATACTTTTGATTTATTTAAGTTTTTAGTTTTTTCTATATATTATCAAATGGAAAATAGGTAGCCATTATTTCATAAACTATCGCTGGTTTTGCCAGTCGTGGGAATTATATAACATCACACAGATGATGTGACTTTTTTTCTCGATTCGAAAAAAACCGTTATTGCCGTTTTTTTCACGTTTACCCTTGCCTATATGGCTATATCTATGTTATTATTTATTGATCTTGTTTGTTAGGCGTACCATATTTTAGTAGGTACTGATGACTTACTATATATAACTATAACGCTGGCCAATGACGCCGCGAGTAATAGTAATAAAAAAAAAAAATACTTATCATACAGACACGACGTATTCAGTGGGTTGGATAATACCATTGTAACTTGTATTGATAGAACCCAAAGTAAACGTGACGTGCTTACTGCTTATATATTACATAACTTGGGTGTACCTATACTTACTTATGATTTTCTGTGATTCTCACATATTAGGTATATACTTCATGGATTTTTTTATTGTTGTTCTTATTTTGTTATCTACACGAGTTTTGTTTTGATGCACTCCACACACTTAGCCATCCTTATAAGAAAATATTGACATTTAATTTTTAGTTTGGTAAAAACGCTTTTTAATTGTTTGAAAGAAATTGTGCTGTTGATATACATTTTGAATTTCTAGAATAAAACTATGCGATGGTTAAATCGCAAGATTTCACTTATCAAAGTACAGTTTGTTTTTATTATTTGGTGTACTTTCTTGAAATGCGATCAATATAGGTAGTTTAATTTAACTCAGAAAAATACGTATAAATAATAAATATCAGGTATGAATAGGTCATGGCAAATGTCATGCACAATGAAATGTGCAGGGAGCTGTTTTGCTTCTCACACGTTATATAAAAGAAGACCGACAGTAATTTACTACTTGTTTTTTTTTTAGTTTAAGATCATTGAATATTAATATCGAATTAGAAAAATGACTCTGAGTATGGAGCATGATTTACCTAAAAATGGGATTGCCACCGTAGAACATAATTTACCTGAATATACTGGATAATTATTACAAACAATCGTCTTCTTTAATGTACCATAATCAACTGAGTTGCATTATACATTTACTGATAGTAATATAATATATTATTCAGGCAAAGTGGATTGCATAATATATATCGAGCGATTAAAAGTGTTTAAATGCCAATTCCGGACATCATTTCCATATACGCAGCAAGAGGTCAAAATATAAACTGACCACCGCTGCAGCTGCAATGTATAATTCAAAATTGGCTAATAGTGTTTAATAAAAAAAGCGTTTGTCTGTTGAAAATATTGAAATCTAATATAATATTGTAGTCATTCATTTATATGATGATTTCTAAAATATTATGTCTTACTATTCGTTTGTATTATTATTATTATTATTGCACATAAGTGGCAGTATTCGTATACGTCTTTATTGTATTATCTCGAGTATAAGAAGAGAGTGAAAACAATTTTACAGACAAAGTTATCTGATATCGTTCGTATTGTATACGCGATGATAAAATATGATATAGTAAAGACGTGACATCATTTATATACGTGTTAGAAATATGGGAATGTGTGCCTTCTGGGCTTTTGTCTTTTATTGTAAAAGTCACTCAACCCGATGACATTGATACGCGTATATTTATAGTAGATACTCGTATAGGTATATTGTATTATTGTATACTAATATGTTTGTTATATTATATAGGTAGTGACTATACTATAGAAATATTTATTTCTTTTTCTTTTGAAATATTTCAGCCACGTACTATATTTTATAATTTTTGTTAATTTATATAATATAGGTAGTATTTGCGATTCCTCCCCTATTTGTGAAAACAGTATCTTTCCTCCTTTTCTAAATGGACACCAAATAAAGTTAGTGTAAACTGTAAGAACAACTTAAGTTCCTAGAGAATATTTTTGGTTTAACCTTAATAAGAAAATGTCCACATACATAATCAAGATTTTTTTTTATACATGTTCTGAACTAAACATTAATATCTTTAATGATCATAATTAATTTTGTTAATCTTTTTTAATGTTATAATTAATCATATTATATGTAATTTCACCCTTTTGGGTATTCATATTAATAAGACGAAAATAAACAAATCTAATACAGGAAAAATGGTTTATTTTATTAGTTTATTATTATTTAATAGATACCTACTAACAGTTTATACTTTATCGTAATCATACATATTTGATAACTGATTAAAATTAATGAAAAGTTGGTAACTATACAAAAATACATTTTATTTGTTAAGTGTTAATAATATATTTATTATTTATACATACTTCGATAATAATTATCAAGTTCCTATTGGTTATTATAAAATAATAAATATCATAATATTAAGAATGGTCTTTCACGCGTAAATCCTTATCGATATGATCATACAAATTTCATATACTTGGAAAATAGGATTAAAAGATCCTTACAAATAAAAACTGTAAAACAAGTAAATAATAATATAATATAATATCGCCGTATCCTTAAAATGTTCAAAATAATAATTTCGGTGTCAATTTTTTTTTTTAATAGACAGGTGTATGTATTTTGTTTGTAAAACACATCAACGTTTTATTATGATTTATTGTTATATTTCATTTGAGTTCAAGGTATGTGCAGTGTGCAGTAGTCGTTAAGGAGTCATTGCAAAGGGGAAAAAACTCGAAAGTAATAATTTATAACTCTTTTTACAGTTATTCACGATTGTAATATCGTCCTTTGATACGATTGGGTGGTAATTTTTCTTTGCAAATATTTTCGTACATATAAATACGTAACATGCCTTTTCGCTGACGTTTATTCGCTTTTTAGCATCCGTGGCAAAGAGTGAGTATCTATAGCTGTTATATGCATTTTCATTTTGAACATATTTTAAAATAACAATTGATAATTTTTTTACCGACAAACTTTTCATGCACGAGTAGAATTATTAAAATATCATTGCAACTTGTATAATATAGCTGTACGCCACACGTTAGTGCTGTCGTCAGTTTTGATTAAATTAGTTTGTCAAACTTCGTTCATATTTTATGCTGTGTTCAGGAGAACTTATCAGTATTTTTCGGGATCACAAGTTATTAAAATGTAATATTTTATGAACCAAAATACTCAAGGCCGACACGATTTCTCATAATAATTGCGTGTCATTTGCACGATATAATAGTACGTACATATATCATTATACGCACGTTATGTTGAAGCATTTTACGATTTTCAACTTGGAAACATTATATTATTAACATTGTTGGATACTAGATTTTAAATTATTAGATATTATATATTAATTATTCTTTATATATAATGTAGTGTAAAGACTAAAGTTATTGGATAGGTAATTGTTATTATGTCAGTTTATTTATTAGACTACGATTTTGATGTACTTTAATATATTATTTTAATTATAAAAATAACAACAAGAAAAAAACATGTATGCTTATTTAAATTCCGTTAAATTTATTCTGAAAATGTATTGCAGATAAATTAAAGTAAATATTTAAAACTCAAGATATTTGTGTACCTATATGCGATTCGTTTCTAGTCAGACATGGCGCGATACACCGCAATAAATAACTTAAATAACGAGAACGTTTTGTTTTATTGCTTTTTTATTCAATATACTTCACTCCAGCAGACTAATTCGATTAATAAGTAATGGATTTTCCTCACACTATGGGCCCCGGTATAGCCTATAAGAACTATATATCTACTAGTTAATGACAATAGTTTAAAACAATTTTCCTTGTATATATAAATTACTGTGAGCTTAGTTGGAGAACTTTTTTTTAGTTTTTAATTTTCTCAAGTGTTTTATTTGATAAATTAATTTACAAGGAAAGTTAAAAGCCGATTTTCTTAGATGGCTCGAATGTAGCAACCGTCGGAGAAATTTAAATAGGAAACCAAAGTTTTGTTGATTTCCAGAAGAAAATCATTCAAAAGTACATTTATACTACACAATATCATAATATTTACGATAATCAAAATATTCCGATTGTATTCTTCGTTTGTATTCTGAAGAGAACGACGTCGTCGACATCGACACCTAATAATGAGTAGCGATTTCAATATTGATATTGCCGTTACTTTGCAGTATATTATACTTGGAATTTGTTTTAAATCACGATGTTATAACTATGATACTAGTTCTTGTCGAGAGCACAAAATACAAAGTAAATATGTCGTCTTGAATCCATCACGTCGGCAAGCGGAATTGACTTTTGAAGTTTTAAAATACGACTAATTAAAACGCTGCTGTACAGTTATTGAGATATACGACGTTCTTATAAATTCAAAGAGTGAATTTTTGAACAGCCAAATTTATTAAATACGAAGACTTATAACAATTTAATCAAATCAAATACCTATATGGAAATTCTAGGTATAATAATATATAATAAAAAAACATGAAATATTCATAAAATGAGGAAAATAAAATATATATAAAATGTAATCAAAATATTAATTACATTTTACTTTTAACTAATGTCAAACATTTTTAAGTACAACGTACGCAAACACATGCAATACAATGACAGTGTCAGGAGCTTGTTGTGTTTTGTAAAATATTTTTGGAATGAGTAAAATAGTTTAGAAATATGTTTAACATTCCGGAGATGAAACGAATACTATTTTTCACATTGTATATGTTTAACTTGTCTTCATTATTTTATTTTAAAATATTCATGTTTCATATTTTCAGTAAACCTATATATCAACTTAACCTTTGACGATTAAAGTATATAAGTTTATGGGATATACAAGCTATTGAAATTTGAAATATATTCTAAAATCATTTCGTAGAATCGGTCGTTTCGCCAAGGAATTTGTGTAATATTACTGAGATTATGTATTATATTTACGGGATTTTATTTTTAGTGATTTTAATATTATGCACCTACGACACGTACAAACGAACATTTTACGATTTTTCATAATATTAAATTATAATTTTATATATTTACATTTTTAAGGGTGTAATAAATGTCGGAACCATAAACGTTACAATTTTATGTCATTCAACCCTTACACATACCTATTGTTTTATTATAATAATACTTAGGTATCGGAAGAACAAGAGACAACTGCAGCAGGATCGACCGGCGTCCGTGCACCGTCAACAGTCTTCGGGGCGTCTACAGCACTGGTACAGCCACAAGCCGGTGGTCACTGTAGATCAGTTGCACAAGTACCGACGGAAGGAGTTTGGTACTGGACTTGACGGGGTCGCCGCTCCTCCACCCCAGCCTCCGATCAGCTTGTCGGCCAGCCCGTCGTTTGACACCGAATACAGGTACCTATACTAACCTACGCCCCGAAACAGTGTTTTATCGAGTAATAATTATATTCTACACAAACACCATATTCGAGTATAGGATAGGTTGCTGCCGGATTACTTGTCTGTACTTACTCTAGATACTAAAGAATGGATATAGGCTTTCGTCTGAGTTTATTATTAGACGGGAACATACTTCAAAATATTTTGAGGCTATATAGTGGGTAAGTATCTATGATAATCACAGAACATAACTCATGAGACCCTCAGAGGAATCATTGATAAAAACTATCTATATGTTCCTTACGAGTCATAGGTAAACGCAGGATTACTGATAAAACAGTTTCAGAAAACCGTCATTTTAACTCGTAATAAATATTATATTATCATACTAGAAAATGATTTTCTAATGACTAAAGTAAATTGGTGAGAAAGTCGATTTAATAATATATATTATAGACGAAATTAAGAAGGTTTTCAGATTTCCTTCAGACTTCAGAGTCACTTGGTCAATTGGTATACGAGTGACAAAAGTACACACTTTTTATACACATATAACGTGGGTTCAGTGCTCTGATAATATTATAGTAAAATAAATATGTAGATTGTTTCTATACGTATAATATTAAGTAATAATATAATAAAGTATTTTATACCACTGTATATACACAGTTCACACATATTATTAGTACATTTTTGCAATTAAAAAAAGTAATATTTTTATGTGTTTAGAAATTATTTATATTATTTATTATTAGGTTCTTACAAAAAAAAAATTTTTATGGTTTATAAGCTTTTGCATTTTTTTTGTAATATTATTTTAACCAAAAGCAAAATATTATCTATATCAATATAACTATTTTTTTTTCTGATTAATAAGTATGAAAAGTGCACCTCGAATTCTGCGGAGTACTACTTGGTATTGATAATAATTATACTATACCATAATATAGGCTCGTCTAAACTTCTAAAATGTATCAGAGAAAAACTTTTTGTTCGATATTTATATATAAAAAAAATGTGTAAAATTGTTTTCTGCTTCTGATCTCGGCAATAATAATACGGATAGTCACGATAAAAAATAGCGAAAAATGTAATTTGTGACCGTGGGACGTCGCAGGTGTTGTTTCGAACCACCGTACCGGACCGCCGAGGAGATGAGTAACAACAGGCGGCACGCGGCAGTGCCCAAAGACGAGCTGCAGGTGGAGGGTGAAGCCGAATTCAGCGCCGAGTACGCCGAACGGTACCAAGACGGACCTAGGGAGCGGAATGTGGCCGGCCGGCAAGGAAGTCACATTGGGCCGTTCGTGTGTGCAGACGACCCGGCACCGGAAGGAGTCGGCGCCCGTTCTGAACAGCACGACCAGTATGTGCCACATCCGGAAGGCCGGCGGGCAGACAACCTGCGACCTGGCACTGGACTGAGGATGGACGAGGGGCTGATGGACGGTGAGACCGAGCAGATGGCCAACTATCGCAAGTATCCGGTCACGCCGCATCCGGACGTCGCCGACCAAGGTATATGCGTTCAATAATAATAATAATATTATGTAGGTTAAGTCATATTGTTATCATCGTGCACAGCAAAATGTCAAAATATATATCATAAATCATGTTTATAAATATGCACAGGATGTACCAGGATGATCCGACAGTTATTTTACATTGAAATTACATTTAAATTTTAAGTTATGTACGTCGCGTTTTTGGCAGCAAATAACAATCATTATAAGTAGGTCGACTTAAGCATTGTTTAAAACTATAAAATACTCGTAGCAAAATATTTTTAAAATATATTATCTCCTAATAACTAGTAATAAATTATTATGATTACATGCCTGTAATAATTTCGGTTTCATAAATTTAGGCAGAATATTTTTCTAAACAATTTGATTTGCCTCCTTCTATTTTATTTCAGTTAATTCCACTTAATAGTTCTCTGTAATTGTATTATATCATAGTATTTAAGGGCGGTCAAAAAATAATTAATTTTGACGAGAGGTATGATTATTAAAAAAAAATTGCTTATTTTGACTATCTCAATTATTTAAATTTGTATATAAATCATAATTGTGTGTGTCTGAGAGTGTAGAGAGAAGTGGGGTGATATCCGTATGATAAAATGCGAAGTGTCCAACGCATATTGGGTTGGGTAAGTCATAGATTAAGCTATGGATGTCACTGGTTTACGACGGTACAGTGCTCTTTTATGTTTTTTCCCTTCAGAAACCGTTTTTTTTTCAAGCCGTAAAAAGCTTTTGCATCTCTCCAAGCGTTAAAAATCGAACCCGTCCACTGTCCTGTAATTTATATATATCAAAGGTCGTTTTTCGAATTTCCAAGTAGTAATTTCCGAGAAGGCCGTGAAAAACGCATCGAAGAATATTTAAAAACGTGCACATGGTTTTCAACAAAACTTATCCTTATACGGATCGAAATTCAACGAAAATCCTTTTTTTTTCTTTCCGATTTTCAAGACGACCGTCTGCTCATTCACACCCAACGTGCATAAATATAACAAACACTCTTTCGATGTCGATACGAAACTGCCGTATCTCCGCCACGGATGTTCGTGTCACGCTCAAAAAATGTTTTATCACGACTGCATGTGATACTTCCGGAAAATTTCAAAAGCAAATTCATATTTTATCCATACGCGTAAATAGGTACTCGACCCGTTCGTTCGACGACCACGGTAGCAATGACACTTGTTTTTTTTTTTAATGGTCTTGCGCATGGCTAAAGTATAAAAATATCGATCTTCGCACGTCCTAAATTCCCAACACTACAATAATAATAATAGTAATAATAATAAGTTCGTTTCCATATTATCGAGCACGTGCACTCTGTCGAGGAAATCTTTTGATGGATAATAGTGATAATATAATATATTCAACGACGGTTTACGATACATAATATATTATGGCCACGATTGACATAATATACCTGTGTATTTATTATGTACCTATATAATATTGTGTGTTGTACATCAACGGTCGTAACTTTTTCCCAAGTGAACCCAACCAAACCGGACCATGTCATGTATATATCGTGGCACTTGCAGTCTGTGTAACGATGACCACGTGCCTGTATACGTCATATAATGACAAACGTGCACGGATGGTACCTATAATAATTGTAGTAAAACGTGTTTATTATAATGGCCAATAGGTGTATAATAATATATTTTATAGTTTATAAATACGATGATTCATTCGTTCCGTTTCTATCGAAGATGGAAAGTCCGACGAGGGCCATACCTTTATAACAACGTATAGGTACATCGTATAATATGCAATGTTGTTGTACGCGTGTTGTCGACCGAGTTTCGATAATGTGTTGGCACGCGTGGTATGGGACACTATGGATTCGGGTTATTAGGTTTACGACGAAAACGATAAAATAGAGGGTGTTTGAATGTAGGAAAAGCCGTTCGTGACGGAATTTAACGTATAAATTACGTTTTTATTATTATTGTTTTCGACCCGAGGAATCTTTTGAGTCCGCCTATACCCGCGGCATTCCTCACGTCTCACCCGACTTCCAAACTGGGACGACCGGCCTAACGGTTTAATTGTTATGAAGTGTGTCTGGTGCTCATTATAATATGATAATAAATCTCCTGTATTTGGCCGCTAAGACCAGAACGAAGGGATCGCGCCGAAGAAGTCGAGTAGTCCAACCACGAGACGGCTGCCGTTCGACGAGAGTATGAAGGAAATGGTCCTGACACGGGACAGCGGCATGTTGCTTCGGCCCGCGCGGTTCTTCGCCGGTGGACCGCCCCGAACCGAGTAAATTCGACGTACATTAATGGCTATTAAATTTATAGTTGTGCGCGGGTGATGTTGTGTGACTGCTTGACAATAATATGGCTGAACGCTTAAGCTTTGTGCGGGGAGTGGGGGGGGGGTGTTCTGCCGTGTGGGATCCAAGGGGTGTGTGTGTGTGTGTGTTTGTGTGTATGCAAAACACCATGACCCTCACACTCGACGACCCACGTCGTTTTTATTTTGTATATCTAGACGCGGTGTGTAAGTTAAAGGCTTTTCGGCTGCGCTTTATGAAATAAAATATGTTTTAGATCGTCCAAAGACCAAAAACGCTTTGCTATATTTATACAACACGGACGTGGTTTGCAGTGGTTTCCCGCAGCAGTAGTGTGTGCGATAATCCAGAAAAATAAATTACCCTGGAAAAATATCATCTATCAATAATTATTATCCATCCTATATATATATATATGTAGTTGTAGGGTGATTCACAAAGCATGCTTATCTCCACTCTTTTCTTGAATAATGAATGCTAATTAATGGAATTTATATAAACCAAAGACCATATTATCAAATAGGTACTTAGAATGTTACACCATTATTAAGGAGGTAAAATATTGTTTTTTTTTTCCAGGAACCAACATTTTTTACTGTAAATTATGAAGCAGATACATTTTTGAACATTTTTATGTATCTCAATAAAAGTTCGTAATAATAAGTTAGTACGGAAATTTCTCAAATATTATAATATATAATTAAAATATTTTAAAATAAAGACATTAAGTATATTTAAAAATTTTAAAAATAATGAATTGAATACATACCTTCAAAATGAAAAATGGGTGTGTGCAATGAGCATGCTGGTTGAATCACTCTGTATATAACTTATAAGACCTACGACCAAATGTTTGAGCGCTTCTATGTAGTACACCTCGCCACCTCGGGCAACGTTAGTATTTTTACGCATAAAGCTCTAACAACTTTTCGGTAGCCAAACCTGTGATTTACATCGTCTCCTCGATACTAATTTATTTTCAAACTTAGATGCCATACGAATAAAATAAAAAGATATACGACGATGACATTATGCCACTAATTTTTCTATACTCCAAATTATTAGTGTTTATACATTTAGACTTATATAGTTATAAACATATAATATATATACATAAAATATACAATTATGCCTACAGTCATATTATTTCGAATATCATATTGCCTGATTGTCATTATTTTTTCAGTGAATTATTTTTCCGTGGCTTTTATTCCGCTTACCAATGTTTAATATGAGATAAAATAATTATATAATGATGAAAATACTAGTGTAAATTGCAGGACGGGGTGGAGACAGCATCTAAAATGTTTAGTGAATTACTAAAGAATGCTAAATAATTTATAGTCATAATAGACAAAATATCTTTCGACAATTCGATTGAACAGTTTCAACATTTTCGGCATCGATGCGTGTGCGGTGTGCTGGGAAAAGGGGTATCGTGTCACGACTCACGGCTTTCGGCTGAAGCACATTATTAATGCAAATTAACTTTGTTTTATTTGGCATGAATCAAGACGAACTCTTTTTGAAATTCCGATTCCATTTATAGCAAATTAAACGTAGAATTAATGTAAATGATACATCTAATAAAATACGAGAAATAATATACTATTATTAACTAAACTTTTTTGATATTAGTGTTGTACTGACTAGGCACCGTTAAAAATAACAGAATAATCTTACAAAGAAAATATTTTAGAAACAAAAAATGATGTTAAAATTAATAAGTATTACTACCATATTTTTAGTTTATAATTTATTTTACTAAAAATGGCATTGTGGTTGTAATAGTTTCAATCTGCGTACTCTGAGTACAGTAGTAATGTAGTGTACATTGTGTTTTAGATTACGAGGTGACAAGAAAAAATAAAAATAAAAATATTGACAATCGATAGATTTGAGATTTCCATTATACTAATAACTGTAGAAGAGATAAAGGATTAATCGGGTGTAGGATGGTGTGGGCTAAAAGAAATGAGAATTGGCTCAACACAATATATTTTTCAGGTATTCTCTAACATAATTTTATTATTATTTATTATTGTTAAAAATGTTCACTTTGGCAGTTGTAATGATTCTTGTATGGAAATTTATTAATAATAATAATAATAATAAAAAGAATCGATCATGATATTATTATATAAATAATCATTTATAAGAGATAAGCTCCTTTTTAAAAAATAATTTAACTGTTTGGTTTTCCTTGTAATTGTATTACTGTCTACTGACTATTATACCTTCATAGAAAAATGCAGCTGATACGTAAATATAATTTGTATAGTACTGTTGTAGACTGTAGTGTCATGTTTTTAATATGTAAAATTTTTCACTCATCATAATTAGATAGTAAGATTTACTCTGAATTGTCTTGTGAACGTCATAATACAAATAAATATATTATTATACAATTTATAGGAAAAATTAATTTCATAAGTTTTAATTATTCATTATATTTAATAGCTCAAATACAGTTAGAACTTAAGGGTTGTTTTATGTTCATAATAAAATAATACGTAGATTGTGGTTCAGATGTATACGAAAAACTCTTTAAATAAATTCTATGAGTAAATTATAATATTTACTAATTTTTATTTAATATTATTTTTCTAATAGTCTTAAAAATAACTTAATATTAAATTAAATCAAACAAAATGGATCTGTTCGACCAGTAATAATTTTCTTTTAACCATAACACAAAATTACGCCAACTTAAATATAAAAATAAGGTTTAATGTTTTATAATTTTATAAGTTTTAAAAGTTTGACGTTATTTTGTTCTTAACAATAATGTACAAAAGAAAAAGAATATTTTATTAAAATATATCAAGAGTTTATTTGTAGTTTATAACGAAGTAGATTAGTAGCTGATTTTAATAACAAAACAATAATAGAAAAAATTGATAAATAATATTACATATTTTCATTGCAACTGTTTTTGATAACATGACGTGTTTACTATGAAAAGTACCGAATAGTTAATGTTTAAAATATCGAGAGGGGAATATAACTAAATATTTCTTTTCAATTCCATTTTTTAGATGAGTATAAATTCGCATTGTTTTAAACGACGGAATAAATTGTGGACCGATTCCAAACAATTGTTATCTGTTAGAAATATCACCATAATAAAATGCAACAAGTGTCAATAGCATGTAAGAAAATATGATTAAATAACGAACATTTTTTTATAATTATTTGTTAGAGTAAATAGAGTGGTATTTAAAATAGTTCTAAAAAGTAAAAGGAAAACAATATGAATGCAAAGTTAATAATATAAATTCCGTGTAACACTTTCATGGAATATGAATTTTTTTTTATTGTATCTTATTTGTGTATAATTTAAAATGAAAATACGAATACTTAGAAAAAAAAGAGGGGAATCTAAAGAACAATTTACGGAAATGGGAATATATAAATTTTAAAATCAAATGAGTTCGTAGTATTGAAGTTACGTGGACAAACAACGGAGAATAATAACAATACTTAATAGGAATAATAACGAAAAAGCAGTGTTTAAGAAAAAAAAAAATAAAAAAATGGTTATCATATGGTAATATTATAATATTATGTTATGCATGCACAAGACTATAATATAGACGTATATTAGTTGTTTGTTGTGTTTGGATATGTGTACGCTGAAAAATATATTCTTTCAAAGAAACGCCTCACACACTCTGGCTGATGTCTGTACGCACGAGCACGGGTCATGTTACCTACCTATAATTATTATATATTATGAAAATTACCGCAAACCCATGATATTAAGTTACACAAACCGAAGGTAAACTCAAAAAGAAGGTTATAAATCATGCCAAATATTTCCGACTACCTGTATTGTATAAGTTCGGTTTTTTGTATCTGTGCATTTATGACAGATTAAAGAAGTATACAGCAATTTTATTGCACCATAAGAAATGTATGTACATATAGCTCTTAAAATTCACATTTTGAGTAATGTCAAAATACATGCAATACTCAAAAAAGGAACTAAAATGTACTATAAAAATGTGTTAGGTATTATTACATAAAAAAAAAAAAAATTGTCTAATCCAAAAAAATTAAATTAATAAACAGATATCATGTTTGAACAAAAATTGTAGTACCAAATAGTTTGTTGTCTACAATATTTTATTAAATAAATACTGACAGTCTTTGCGAACATTTTAATGGTGATATTGTGTAGAATATTTCCGATTTTAAAGTTTAAACATAATAATAACCATATTATTAGCCACGAGCTTCGTTGAGTTTTGTGTGCCATAATTGCATATACAAAGCGCCGTCATAGAAAATTATTTATACCTAACTATTAATTTTATTATTATTTATGTGCCTTTTACTTTTAAGTTTGATTATTTGTTCAAGCTGTCTCTTTGTTTCAATTTGTTTACGGCGAAGAGAAGAAGTCGATATGTGCTTTGTCTCATGCCATCTCACATCAAACACGATGGCAGCTTTGTAATTACTTTATCGGTGATAAACTCCATCCCGTCTGAATACGAAATATTTGGGTTAAGCGTTAGGTTGAAATTGATTAAGTGTGACAAGTACCCCAAACTCATGCCGAACACAATATAAGTATATGACGAAAATAACTTTGACAACGTCCACCACGAGTTTTAGTGTTTGACACGTCATACACCGGTAAAATATGTGCTTTATTCACTATGGCATAAATATCTTTTACATATACATAGGGCCACCTGCTGCTGACTAATGTCGGTCACCCGACATTTGGAACTGAATGTAAAACGTTCGAAAACGGTTCGAGAATATAGCTAGGTGTACACATTAATTATTAACGATTGTCGACCGAACTCCCCATTTTTTTTACCCCAAAAATAATGCAATATTCTCGTTACGGAACCAGAATCAATATACCTACCTCCAATTATAATTTAGTGTGCGGATTATTACGTATGTTTTATGACACTGTGTACATATTTAGCACGGCCACGAGTCTTTTGACGGCAAACTCGGACTGCACGGTTTTACAATCGTAGAGAGATGCTGTTTGACAATATGTGTCTCACTGCAGGTTAACTGTGCTTTTTTCAAATTTAAACTGCGTTTAGTGGATAATTTCATCGGTAATTCGATTAGCTCATCACCAAGAAAAAAAAATTCTTTTACGATATGATGCCAATATTATAAATTATCGTTTACATGACGTGTTCGTATTACACTTGGGGGCGATGTGCTATCAAATTGACGTTATACCGTTTTTCGTTTATACCTACACTATATTATTGTAATTATTATTAAAAAAAAATTGGCTGCTATAAATAAATCGAATAAAATTTACTATAGAATAACAATAATGATAAATGTTTTCAGACGTTCCAGGCGCGTTGTAAAAAAACCGGCGTTCCGTCTGGAAGTAGTGGACTGCACAGCTAGTGGTGGCGCAAAGAAGGTCGATCGGACGGATGCGTTCGTGGTGCTGCTGGATAACGATGAATTGCCACTTCCGTCTGGAAATGGCGTCAGTGGCGGCAATAGGTGGGTGAAGAGGAGACAGCGTAAAATGGGCACGGTGCGTTTTTTCGATGACAGACTAGCTCGTTTGCCGGCCACCGACACTGGAAAAACCATACAGTAGACCCGACGACCATAATATTATAACCTATATTATTATACCTGTTTAAATAACTTACAATATTGGTCCGCGTCCGTTCACCCGACACATCCACGTACACGTTCGTCGAAAGATACATTTTTGCAAATACCCGTAGACCCTATTATTTAAGTGTCCAATAATATTATTATGTTGATCGTACATAATATTATATTATATTGTTGTGACGATATATTATTCAACAACGCACCGACGGCGAATCGCACACGAAATCATTTTATGTCATTCCGGGTTTTGTTTTGTAATACATAGTTATAGACGCTAGTTACAGGCGTTAATAGACATCGATTTTATGCCGATTTACCTGATATTTTGTTTTTAAATAAAAGTCTGCCCAAACCATCCGTCGTCTATTATTTATTTCACTAATAAGTTCTCTGCACATTGAAAATGAAATTATTACGCTTGTTATAAGTAAGCAAATCGTTTTTTCGTTTTTAAAAAACGTGTTTTACAACCAATATCTATCTAGTTATAATATATTTTATGTATGATGAACCATAACAATTAATGTAAATTTACTGTTACTAATGGCCAATGCATTCAAAATTGTTCAAGATAAATAACAAAAAAAAAAAAAAAAAGATTGTACACAATTTATTATTATTTATTAAGTATTTTACTATACGCATTGTGCACATATTCAAAATATTTGAATTATGAGTTAAATTTATTATGACTATTGATCAAATATTTGTGAGAACTCATTTTTTAACATGAAAGTAATTAACATACGTATTTTCAAAACACTTTAGAAACAAATTAATGATACCGGTTATGTCTTAAGCAAAATAGGACGCGTAAGATATTATATTATTGATGTACGAGTGCATGACGTCATTAGATTAGATTTAATGAGGAAATTCAGTTTCACTAAGTAAATAATATAATATCATATTGTATATTAATAACACATTCTGTCTCCGCGTCAAATAGATTCCGTTCTAGATAATATTTTAAGATAATTTTGGAACCTGCGAAACAGGTGATTATTACCCTCCTATATTATTACCGGCCAAATAAATCCATTATCTATATATTATATGAAAAGAACTACCCGCTAGGGGCCCACTATTGTTCGATATCCATCGTGTGAGCCTGGGGCCTTGCCCCTTGCCCCCTCCTTAAACCGGGCCTCGACACCAGTTTGGACGGGACTAAAGAAAAATTTCGTTTTATGCAGATATTCGCTTTATACAGTAGAGTCCATTTTAAAGAGATTGTGAAATAGAGGTAAAGTACTGGTGGTATTTTAATAGCTCCTATAACAGTATGGGAATGCATGGCATATATGACCTTAGAAAAAGGTTCACCTATATGTCTGCATATTATTATATAATACTTCTATTGTGCGCACGACCACATACACTCTACAACAACGCATTATTATATGACATATTGTATAGACGTAAAACTATTATAACTCACATGTGCAGTATTATTATTATATTACATGAGTGCCGCGAACGTTATTGTATCATTTAATCAAAATATATAACAATTACATAATATATTCATATTATACAAAATTCGTTTTTTTACTATGTACATATTATTAAATAGTTGTTTGAACGTGTCTGCACGTCAGTCGACTGGATAGGCGATCGAACACTTTTATCGTAAGTAGTTGCTGAAATTTCATAACACAGATGTGTGACGCGAAGACGATCCACTCCTAGACACTGTATCTCACGTTTATTTTTTGTTTCATTAAATTGTATGTAGGTCCCGTCCACCGAAGATGAAAAACAAAATAGTAAAACCCATGTACATAAATTATGTATTATCAAAAATAATATTATTTACAAATATATTTTTTTTTTTTTTTGAATTTTTGACTCTCAGTTTAAAATACCCGTTGGGGGTCCTAGTTTTTGATATAAATGTACTGATAACATATTTGACATAGACACGTATGTAAAAATCGATAAAATTTAGTAATTTGTATTAATAATAAAATATATTATCTTAATTGTATAGACTATAGGTAATAACTAATAAGTATACGTATAACTGTATTAGTATTTAATAAACTAATATTATACATTTTAACTGTGTGGAACTTGGGAGTGTCAAGTAAGAAATGTCTATATTATAATTAAAAAAAAAAATAACATAAAATGTTAAGTTGAAGACGTTTGTGTTTGAAATTGTATACCATTGGTATACAGATGAAAACATCGAAAAGAGTTTCTCTCTGGTAATGGCTTATCGAAGAGACGAAGACACTATTATAGATAGTACTTAGTTGATGTGTATGCGTCGGTTCGTTTTTAAATTGAACGATTTTAATGTATGATAATATGTTATTGTAATAATTCATAATATATTATAAACGTCGAATTTAATGCATAATAATAATTGTGTCTTAGGTAGGTATTAATAAATAACTGTGAGCATAATATACTATACATAATTTATAATTATATTTTGGGTACTACGACGATTGGTTTTCGTTGAGCGTTCAGGGACGTGGATAGTCTTATGCTCATATAATATTATTTGTACACATAACAATATAATAATATTATGGCTGGAAAAAAAAACTAACGAGAGTTAGCTGCGCCAGGTAAATTTGTCATTGCGATGGCGTGGCTTTTGCAGTAGTAGCACAAACAACATCTGCAGCACTGCAGTAAAAGCGTCCGTTCTCCGATTGGTGAAACTAGAAATTAAATATTACAGAAATCGATAAAACTACGTTAATTAATTAATGTATTTAATTTTTTTTTTTTTAATAATTGTTTGATTAGTAAAATATTTACATATTTTATAGTGTCATACATACACATTTACTACAAACGATTGGTCCAGATTTAATAATCAGTATGTTAGAGGTGTGGTACCCGCATTTTTTGTTTCCGTCTCACTCCAAATTTGCGTTTGGAAGTTTCAATAGTGTGCTGCCAGCTTTGATATTGAGTGAATTTACCTATTATCAAACTTTTAGGTAAGAACATTATCCGTGTTCTCTCGTTGGTTTTTAAGATATTTTAATTTTTAAGTGAGTTATATCAATATTTTAAAAAGCTCTTGATTAACTTGTTTATATATGGCTAGGGTCGCCATTGATTGCAGAAAAAATAAACTTTTATAATAATCTATATGCATACCCAAATTAATGTATGCTTTTAGTTTATATACTCAAAAACTACTTGATTGAGTTTTACAAAAATATCGGTGATTGTTTTTAGAGATATCAGAAAAGTTTATAAAGTAGTTTGAACTAAGTTAAAAAAAAAATACCAAGTGCTATATTATGCAATCCGCGACGGGCGATTGCCCATCTCGGTCAAATTAGAGCACAAACCTACACCGAAGCCGATTTTCCCGTCAACTGAGGTACGATAAAACCGAGATACACCTATAACTATGGCTGAATGTATTAAATTTGTTCATTTTTTCCAGGGTAAAAGTCTGATCGTACGCCTAGTTATAAATTATAATATAGAGTGGTAGTACAATTCTAAAATGTTTATTAATACCATTACTGTTATAGATCTTCGTAGTATGATTTGGAAGTGCTATTTTAATTGTAATCGAAAAAAAAACAGTGATGATAACAGGAAATATTATTAAATATTATTTATGTTATCAAAACTTTGGCATTGACTTAAACCAGAGATTAAAATTAAACCAAAGGGTACTATTATAGTGCCCTCAATCCTAGTTCAGGGGTTGTTCGCGTCACTAGGCTTTCCAGAAAACGGTTTCGATGTTTCTATCATAATAGTATTATAATATTTCAATGGTGTAGGTATGCGACAGAACACGATCATATAATAACAATAATAATTATAATAATATGACATCGGTAAAACGGTAATTCACCACCGTATTTATAGGAACATAATATACCTACTATTATAACTCGATCATTAGAATAATGCGCGTAACACGCAGTAGGTAATCGTTGAATAATGCTTGTGGTTGAGGGAAAGAGGTGAAATAAATCGTGAGCTCATTATAATTCCGTTTAATGGTTTGTTCAAACACAATGTCTTATATTTTCGTAAGATTTCCATAAGTCGTCGGCAAGTTTTCATTTCGGGTTCAATCGATTTTAGATTTCAACCCAGGAATAATATATCGGTTTCTAGAATGTTGTATACTCGACACTAATACGTTTATTGTTTATACATTCGTATTGTTCTTTCTTTGAATTCGATAAAAAATAATTATAATATACCTAATGGTTTACGAATATTCTCAATAAATTTTTCATTTAACAATAATATAAGCCCCAAGGTATCAAAACAATTTCAAATTTCAAACAACACTAAAAAAACTTAAATCTAAATTAAAACGACAAAATATGAGAAATGGTTACGATAAAAAAAAAACAAGTTTTTAATTTTTTTTAAGAATTTCATTTACTTACAAATTGTTATTTTATTTTGACCACATATCGTATTTTGTATAAACTAATGCAACTATTGAAGCAACTGGGTAGTAGATCCTCACAAAATGTTAATTAGAAAGGGAAAAAAGTTTTAAGTTTAAGCTTTAAAGTTATGTCCTTGAATATTGAGGATTTTATTGTTCCAGACCCTAATACATCCAATCTAACAAAATAATAATATAATATAATATAAAGCAATACTATTTAGTACTTATTTAATTATAGTAAATGCATGATTGAATTGTCTATCCCATTTATTCAATAAACTGAAAAACTTATATTGTATTATAATTTATAATTTATAATTATGACAACATATATACAGTATGCCAGTATAGCATGTTAAAATGTTCAAACAAAATAAAACCAACCCATACTCATAAGATAAAATATATTAAAAAACATTAATGATTTCACTATTTGAAATTGATACTAACTAATAAAAAAAAACATAATACTCACATTTCACAATAACCAATATCAATAATATCATGTACATTCAATTATTTTATACTTATAATATTTTATTGTTAATTATTAATACTATTTCAATAATGTTTAT